TACACACACACACACACACACACACACACACACACACACACACACACACAGTATACATTTTAAACAAACAATTTAATACTGTATACTACAATGATGATTGTGAAGCTTGGTTGAGGTGGTGAAGGAGGAGGGTGGGATACTTCCCAGGGAATGCCTTACTGCTAAATAATGAATTAGCATTCGGCTCAGCCCTCAAGGGTTAACGTTGTTAATGTAGCCTCACACTCTACAAGGCAGCACAAATGGAGGGAGGGGAGACAGCCTGGCAGACAGAGAGACACACCTTGTGTGTCGGAGAGAGAGAGAGAGAGAGAAAGAGATGTGCATTGCCCTTTTAAGTACGCTGACACCACACTCTAAGTCATTGCCTTTAAAAAGATCAGGAAGTTGAGACAGCAGCTGTGGCCATCTCTCTCTGTCCTGAGCCCTGTGGTGTCTCCCCCCTGCTCTATATGGAGAAGGAGTAAGCGGAAAGGGAGGGGAGACAGAAGTTGGGGGGGGACACCCGGACATTAGTCCCCTTCTTCCCCCCCCTCCCCTGCACAGCAAGCAGGAGGCTCCCGGGAGCATCTCCAAGGCAGAGGGCAGGAGCAGCACTTGGGGAGGGAAGAGGAGGGGGACAACTGAACTGCCGGCAATTGGTAGTCTGCTGAGCTGCTGCTGCACAGGGAATTTAGGGGAGAGGGGAGCTGATGGGGGGCTGTCGCAGTAGTGTAGCTAAGGGGGGGAGCAGCTGCTCACCACTGAGCACAAGTGGCGCCTTGTCAATTTCCTGGAGCCTTTGTACTCACCCGGGGGAGCGATAAAAAAAGAGGGCACCCGCTGCAGCGCTTTGTTTTTACTCACCTGGCGGCACTCCGGGTCTTCTGCAGCACGACCTTCACTCGCTCCGGGTCTTTAGTGGCATTTCGGCAGTGGGACCTTCAGTGCCGCCGAAGATACCTGGAGCGAGTGAAGGGCCCACCGCCGAAGACCCAGAGTGCCGCCGGGTGAGTAAAAGCACCGCAGCTGGTGGCACCTTTTTTTTTATTGCTCCCCGTTCCCTCCACCTGGCTACGCCACTGGGCTATCTGTCCACCCTGGTTCCAAGCCCCCACTAGGTAGCTGCAACGGCCTGCTCTTCCTGCAAGCAGTGGACAAAGCAGGCGGCTGCCAAACAACGTTATAAGGGAGCACTGTGCAACTTTAAACGAGCATGTTCCCTAATTGATCAGCAACGTAACAACGAAACAACATTAACCGGGACGACTTTAAGTGAGGAGTTACTATATTGTATTTGCATTCACTGGTATTTGCCAAATAATTTATTTGACAAATATACTGTGTGTCAAACTACTCTTGCAAATATAGTCTTTGAAAAATACTAGTGAAACTTGCCAAATATAGTGTTTAAATATCTTTTTCTATTCATTTTATTCCTTCCAAAATGTGTTAGCATTAAATGTAATAATTCTGGATATTCTTGTTATCCATATAAATGCCCAAGTCATAGAATCATAGAAGATTAGGGGTGAAAGAGATCTCAGGAAGTCATCTAGTCCAACCCCCTGCTCAAAGCGGGACCAACCCCAACTAAATCATCCCAGCCAGGGCTTTGTCAAGCCAGGCCTTAAAAATCATTAAGGATAGAGATTCCACCACCTCCCTCGGTAATCCATTCCAGTGCTTCACCACCCTCCTAGTGAAATAGTTTTTCCTAATATCCAACCTAGACCTCCCATACTGCAACTTGAGACCATTGCTCCTTGTTCTGTTATCTGCCACCACTGAGTACAGCCTAGCTCCATCTTCTTTTGAACCCCCCTTCAGGTAGTTGAAGGCGGCTATGAAATCCCCCCTCACTCTTCTCTTCTGCAGACTAATAAGCGCAATTCCCTCAGCCTTTCCTCATAAGTCATGTGCCCCAGCCCCCTAATTATTTCCCTTGCTCTCCACTGGACTCTCTCCAATTTGTCCACATCCTTTCTGTAGAGGGGGGCCCAAAACTGGACGCAATACTCCAGATGTGGCCTCACCGGTGCCGAATAGAGGGGAATAATCACTTCCCTCAATCTGCTGGCAATGCTCCTACTCATGCAGCCCAATATGTCGTTAGCATTCTTGGCAACAAGGGCACACTGCTGACTCATATCCAGCTTCTCGTCCAC